AGCAGACCATGCTGGGCACCCAGCACCCTCACCACCCAGGGCTGACCCTGAGCTCTCTGTCCACCCCAGTCCTCTTCGGAGTGAAGGAGAAAGGAGGTTCTGCTGGAGGCAATAAGCACAGGTCCCCTTTCCAATGGTCCCCACCCGGCCCTGGGCCCAGGCACCTGGCTCTGCCTGGAGCAGGCTGGCTGCCAGCTCAGCAGAGCATCTGGGAGGCGGGTCAGCAGCCCCTCTGGGGTCACCTGTGATGGTCTGAGGCTCCCAGAGGGGCAGCACAACAGCGGGTCAGGAGGTGACCAGTGCAGGCAGGTTCAGACTAGTTTCCCAGATTAGGAGCTAGTTACTGTTCCCCACCCTCACTGGGAGCAGCCAGGGCGGCTGAGCCGTGCTCCTGACAGCTGTCCTCAGCTAGCTGCATGTGTGCAACACAAACATGTACACACGCTCACACATATATACACACACACACATATAGAGACCCGCATGCTCACACACAACACAGATACACACACACACAGGTACACATAGAGACCCATACAGACACACTCAGTAACACAGACACATATATACACTACACACAACCACACACAGTCAGACACACAAACGCACACAGGGACACATACAGAGACACCCCCCCCACAAACACACAGAGATAGACACACCCAGAGGGACAGACATACACTCAACACACGTACCCTGTGCACCTCTCTCACACACCCTCGCCTCCCAGGCGGGAAAGCGCAGCCTGCCCGACTCGGACAAGGCCATCCTGGACATCCTGGAGCATGACCGAAAGGAGGCCCTGGAGGACCGGCAGGAGCTGGTCAACAAGATCTACAACCTGCAGGAGGAGGCGCGCCAGGCAGAGGAGCTGCGAGACAAGGTGGGCTCCTGGGCAGCAGGTGGCTGTGGAGTGAGGCAGCCAGGCCCAGGCTCCGCCCTGACCCCACCCATCTCGGGGTGGAGCCTGCCTCAGGCCTGGAATGCTGCACAGGTGTGGGCGGGGCTTCTAGACTAAAGACCAGAAAGGCCTGGAAGCAGACCCAGGAGAGCCACCAGTCAGCGTCCGTTCCCCATGGGTGTGAGGTCCACTCAGAGAGTGGGCGGAGTGTCCTTGCTGGCCCCCACTCGTGGGGTGAGGGCGTCTGCCGGCCCCTGCTCACTGCGTTTCTTGCCAGGCCACCCCAGGTGGCTGGCACTCGGGAAGGCGAGTGTCCCCATGCGGAGCGTCGGTGGCCGCGCTGTGCCTGCCAGCCTGGGGCGTCATTGACTCCCATCTCGTGCGAGCCGGTTGTCCTCGGGACGCTCCTAACTCCTCTGTCCCACGTGCACCCCTATGACTGGGAACGGGCCTGGGGCTCTCCCGGTGGACAATGGGAACCCGACCCTCAGCCCATGTGGGTGGGGCTGGCGTGAAGGCGGGCAGCCCCCTGCCTGGTCTC